GTTGCAGGGCCTTTGCATTTGCTTCCCTCTGCCTATAAGATTCTCTCCACACACGGCTCACTCTCCTCTTTCAGCTCAAATCTTACCTTCTCAGTGAGGCCTTCCCCAAGCTCTCTATTTAAAACTGCCGCAACCTCTTTCCTGCTTTATTTTTCGATACAGCATTTATCACCATCTGACATGTGATTTACTTAATTCTGGCTCCCTCCCCTTTCCCTACCACAACCCCCATGAGAGCAGGAGATTTTTTATCTGCTTTGTTCACTCCTTCATCCCCAGAGCCTAGAACAGTGCCCAGCACATAGGAGGTACCCAGTAAACGCCTACTGAATGAATGGAAGGAAGAAGAGTGGAGGGGAAGAAGGAACTAGAGCCAGATTCAAACTAATCCTGGATGCTCAAGAGTCTAAAAGAAACCCTTTATTACTGATCTGATTGAAGGCATGGGGTGAGTTCCAAAAGCAAAGATCAGATACTATCTGAGGCCTTCTCTTTTGCTCCCAAGAACTCCCTAAAAGGTTCCCCCAAAGAGCATATTGTCTCAAATATTAGTCTGGAAAAAGGGTGGACCTAGAATCTCCAACTGCCATGAAAGGGATGCTCTAAGATTGCCTCAAAATAAGAACAAGGATCAGCCAAGTCACCACCTGTGCTTGGAGGCGGATGAGCCCTGTAGTAGTTTCCTGTTGCCACTGTAACCAATTACCGCAAACTTAGTGACTTAAAACAAAACATTTATTCTCTAACAGCTCTGGAGGTCAAAAGCCCAAAATAAGTTTTACTGGGCCAAAACCAAGCTATTGGCAGGGCCGGGCTTCCTCCAGAGGTTCTAGGGGAGCATTTGTTTCCTTGCCTTTTCCAGCTTCTAGAGCTGCATTCTTTGAATTCCTTGGCCTCTTCCTCCATCTTCAGAGCCAGCAATGTAGCATCTTGCTGTAGTAGTCACACTGCCTTCTTCTGTATCACATCTCCCTTTGCTTTCCTCCTAAAAGGACGCTTGCAATTGCACTTAGGGCCTACTCAGACAATCCATGATAATCTCTCCTTAACAGGATTCTTAACTTAATCACATCTACAAAGTCCATTTTGCCATATATGGTAGCACCCACAGGTCCCAGGGGTTACAGCCTGGATATCTTTGGGGGCCACTACCCAACCTAACAAAGATACTCCAAGAGTTTGGAAGAAACACAGTTCAGACATCTGGTCCACAGGAAAGAAGAGTCAGATTGGGAGTCTTGGCAGCATCCTGGATCTGGGTCTTTCTCTTACCATAAATGCTTGCTATTAGTGCTGGGGCTGAGAAACCCTGTGCTAGAGGAAACAGAACTGGAGGCGAAGAAAGGAGAGTTATGAACAAGGAAATGTTTTAGGCAATTAAGGGAAACTGAGGAAAACCAACCTTGCTTGCTTGTTTGGAAAAGGGGATGATGAGTAGAGCTCTGGGTTCTGGCAAACTCAAGGATGGCCTGTTTGTGAGAGAGTGGGCCAGCAGACTGCTGTGTATGCAGGGCAGCCTGCTTGGCTAATGCTGCTGTTGGGAGAGTAAAGTTGGCTCACACTTCCATCAGAGTGGGAGCCAAGGAACTCTGTGCCTCTGAGGTCACAACTCTTGGATAAGGGAAGTGCCAAAAGTAGTGATAAGGATCAAGGAGTTAGAGCAGCTTACAAATGAAAGCAATGAAAATCTGTTTTTAAATATCTATTAGTATAATAATATAGAAATAAACTTAAGCAAGAGGTGGTTTTCCCATAACACGGGGGAGTCTCTCCCTTCAGTAACCTCTTCATTGAGAGAGCTCTTTCAAAGCTGTGTCACTAATAGCTGTGGAGAATTAAGTAATGGTCTCAGGAGAGCTGCTGAGATGACAACAAGGCTGGGTAGAAGTTAGGCTTTTAAGATTGGGCTCAAAAGAAAAGAAGGGGTGCCGGCAACGTACTTCCCAGAACGCCAAAACTGTTTAACAGAAGATGAAGACTCCCCTTTCTGAGGCTGGGCTCCTGGTGCCACAGCCTGTAAATCAGGGAAGGAAATGGTTCAGAAAGGCTTTCTCCCTGAGCTTACCACCTGAGGACCAAACTCAGTAGAAAGGGGACAAACCAGCACTTACTGAGGCTCATTTTAATCACTAACTCATGAACCCATACACTAGAGCTAAGAGTCACACCCAGGTTTGCCCAACCCCAAATCCACTCCAGCTCTTCCCATGGCCTCTTCTCAGACAGAAAGAGCTCCAGACACAGGGCAAGGACAGCGTGCTAAAACCCAGAAGCCAGGGCCCCAGGGAACCACAAAAGGAGCCAGCTCTTTGCTAACGCTGTAGTCCTTATAGAGTCTTCTCTCCATCTCAAGCAGTTCCTCCAATCTCGACCTCCTTCAAATTCTTTTAGGGCTGGCCCCGTGGCTTAGCGGTTAAGTGCACGCACTTGGCTGCTGGCGACCCGGGTTCGGATCCCGGGCGCGCACCGATGCACGGCTTCTCCGGCCATGCTGGGGCCGCGTCCCACATGCAGCAGCTAGAAGGACGTGCAGCTGTGACATACAACTATCTACTGGGGCTTTAGGGGAAAAAAATAAATAAATAAAATTATAAATATTAAAAAAAAAAAATTCTTTTTGCTGTTTTCCCCCTTGACCCCCTTCTTTTCCCCCCTCTTTCTCCCTCTCCCTACCATTCTCTAATTTGTCCCCCTCTTTCTCTCAACTTTGTTGTTTTGAAAAACAGCTATTTTTCAATAAAAATGTCATTTATGATCAATGTAATGGGTTTATTATTATTATATTAAATGAATTAACAAACTAGTGATTTTTTAAAATTCCTCAGTTTTAATTTCTATTACGGTAAACAAAAGTTCTTGGGGTCCTTAATAATTTTCAAGAGTGTAAAGGGGTCTTGAGGACAAAAAGTTTGAGAATCACTGTTTTACAATATTCGAAAGCTGACTTCAAAACTAACCAGCTTACTTTCTTTTTTTTTTTTTTTAATTTTATTTATTTATTTATTTTTTCCCCCAGAGCCCCAGTAGATAGTTGTCTGTCATAGCTGCACAACCTTCTAGTTGCTGTATGTGGGACGCGGCCTCAGCATGGCCGGAGAAGCGGTGCGTCGGTGCGCGCCCAGGATCCGAACCTCGGCCGCCAGTAGCGGAGCGCGTGCACTTAACCGCTAAGCCACGGGGCCGGCCCTAACCAGCTTACTTTCAAGGCCCAATCTGAAACCCAGTTTCTTTAGGGACAAAGCCAATCCTCAGTGATGACTTGCTCCTCTAAGTGAGTACCCCCGTACAGCACCATGTTCTTAGTACCCACCAGCTCTCTAACATTTTAAAAATGTTTTTGTGCATATGTCTTCTCTCCCCAACTAGGTTCCACACACACGGGGCAGGGGCAGCCAAGGACCACATCTGAAACGTCTGTCACAGCACCTGGCCCACACAAGTGCCTCAAATGGAAAGACTAAGATGGCAATCCCCCAGTTTTCTGAGATTAATACTAAACAATCTGACAAAGCTATAGCCTCATCTTTGTCAGGGGAAACTAAGAAAGAAAACTTCTGGCTGGGACTGGGAACTCAGAGTTCAGGTGCGAACCGGACAACTGACCCCTGGACACGCACAACTGCTGCCACTGTAGCTAGCTGCTGCTGAAACACATGACAAAGCAAACCAACTCGAGCTCTTCTGCTCCGGGGGAACTCTACCTCACCCCCTCTCAGGGAACCTCAGACCCTCCCAAACCCCCCTTCTTCCTCCTTCACATTTCCTTCAGGGGAAAGGACTTGGTATTGGTTTAAGAACAGGAGGGGCCCCTGCCTGAGGACTTCCTGCAAGATCCACAAACAACCTGACTCCAACAGACTGACAGACACATGGGCTCAGCACCCTATTTGGCAACAGGAAAACCCACAAGGTGTTAAAGGCAGAGAAAGGGAAGTGAAGCCCATAAACAGCTACTGGAATCACTGAACTTCAGAGATTAAAACAAATGAGACAGGCGCCCCACGTTTCCCCTGGCCCCCAGCAGAGACCCCACCATAGCCTGGCCTCCCAAATAGGAGGAACAATGAACATCGAATTCCTGGAGCTCCTCTTCTGAGAGATTACAAAACCTGCCAGGCATCCTGCAAACAAACAGGGAAACAGCAATGGGAAGCCCAGAGCATTGTTCACACTCTGGTGAGGACCTGCTACCCCAGCAGAGATAGAAGAAACAATTCTGTGTATTATGCCCAGCTCTCATATACGCCAGTAAACTACAGACCCATGTGCCAGGGACTGAATCTGTGTTTTTACTATCATCATTTCCCAAGTGCCTAGTACTGTGCCTGGCACAGTCAGCACTCGAGAATGTCTGTTGCACAAATGAAAGAGAATGATGGACACCATCTTTGTGGCCTGGCACTCATATGGGCAAAGAAGAAAGTCTGTTCATTTATTCACTCCACAAATGTTTATTTAGCATCTCCTCTGTGCCAGGTACCGTCCTAGACACAACAGGAAACAAAATAAGTCCCTGCCCTTGTGGAGTTTATGTTTTAGTGGGTGTAAAGGTAAAAATCTCAATGCTCCAGAAAAAACTATGTAAGCCACTGACATTCAATAATTATTTAATATGGGCCAGCCCCGTGGCTTAGCGGTTAAGTGCGCGCGCTCCGCTGCTGGCGGCCCAGGTTCGGATCCCTGGCGCGCACCAACGCACCGCTTCTCCGGCCGCGCTGAGGCCACGTCCCACATACAGCAACTAGAAGGATGTGCAGCAATGACATACAACTATCTACTGGGGCTTTGGGGGGAAAAAAATAAATAAATAAATAAAATTAAAAAATAATAATAATTATTTAATAAGTGCCCGCTGTGTGATGAGTACCAGGTGCTATGACAGCCACCTGGGATCTGGGACTCAGCCCTAGTGACATTACTTCGTCTTCTGGGCCAGGATCCTAAATCTGAGACATGTCCATCAGTTGTCAGAGGCCTCTGGGTAAGGAAAATGGGATTACCTCTTTGGTGCATCTGTCCTCATCTGTTGGTGAGCAGAAGCCACTGCGTGAGTACCACGTGCATGCCCAAAACACCACGCAACACTGCAGGATTGAAACAAACCCAACATCTTTAGCCGAGAGGCACCAGGGGTCAGAAAAGCAGCTCTAATAAGTTATAATTAAACACTAAGGCCGGCCCCGCGGCCTAGCGGTTAAGTGCATGCGCTCCGCTGCTGACGGCCCGGGTTTGGATCCCAGGCGCGCACCGGAGCACCACTTCTCCGGCCATGTTGAGGTCGTGTCCCACATACAACAACTGGAAGGATGTGCAGCTATGACATACAACTATCTACTGGGGCTTTGGGGGAAAAACAATAAATAAATTTACAAAATTAAAAAAAAAAAAAAACACTAGGGCTCAAAGAGTGCTCCTAAGACAAACTGGCTCTTCCTCTGTCCCTCACACACACACCCTGAGATGTTGTTATTCTGAGCCTGAGTCAGCAAATATTTCCCAATCCTGGAAGTAGTCTCTTCATTTTCAAGTATGCAGACAATGGCTTTGCTGATCTTACTAGGGTAGGGCAGAAGGAGCTGGCAAGGTGAAGGAGCTGGAGCCCAACACCCACCATGGGTGGCAGCTCACAAATGGAGATGCCCTGAGTCATGCTTGATTCCTTGACCAAAGCCCCATGGAGACAGGACTGAAGTCACACCCTAATCACCAGCCTCTGAGTTATGAAGGCCAGGAATCATCTGCCAAGGAAGAAGACCTACATGTCTGAAACCTGATGCAAGGAGCCATTTCCTCCCTGCCAAGCTCAAGCAAGTGCCCAGCTCTCCTCTGACGCTGTGGGAGCCAGTTGCTGCAAGGAGCTCCTCCTCCTAGATCCAAAGGCACAGAAAAATGCTCAGGGGCATCAAACCATCTGCAAGAAGCAGCCAATGGGCAATCTGGGACAACATGGCACAGACAAGGGCATCACGCACAGAACTTCTGACACGACACAAGCAAGAGCCTGGCAGAGCAAAGTCCATGGAGATACTGGGTAGGGAGGAAGAAGAGAGCGTTCCCATCGTGGACAATGTTGAGCAGTGGGGCGGCTCCTGGCACTTCCAGGACCTCCGAAGGGAGTGGAGGAGGGCCCCAGTTTAGCTTCCCAGCCTGGTAGGGAACACCCAAGGAGGTGGTTCTTGGTGACAGGACACAGCTGAAGCCTTTAGAAGGGACGGGTCCAATTCCTCCTGAGAGACTGGAGCTGCACTGTCCCAGGACATGCCAGGATCTACAGGCTCTGAGAACAGCTTGCACAACAGCCAGGACAGTTGCATTGTATCCAGAGGCCTGCTAGCTTCCCAGGCCAGTGCCCCACACTGGCTGTCCTCTCACCTTGGGGAAGGGACCTGAAGGACCACAGGTGTGCTAGAAGGTTGAATAAGGCAATTATTCTTGAGTGGGCTGAGGCATACCCCAAAGATGGAGGCAAGCAGTGGTGGAGAGGCAAGGAGAAAGGCAGCCAAACAGAAGAGCGGTTTGTTAAACTAAGGAGTTGATGGGCTAAACCATCCGTAGAGTAACATCAGGGGCCTATCTGCCCACACCTTTGAAAAAGAGAGGCAGGCTGACCCAGGCGCTGCAAAAATCACTGAATGGGAACTTGGTAACCGACAATCATCACCACCTATGCAGAAGACAAGGGAGTGGACAAACCGCAAGAAACTATCCGGCCAGGGCTGCTGGTGACCAAGCTGCTCCACAAGCACTGGGCTTGACCTCTTCTCAAGCCCTTCTCACTCGCCGCCTCAGTGGAGAGTACTCCTAAGGGGTAAGCAAAGACAGAAGAGAAGCAAACTGCTCATGAGTCAGGTGAAGTCCTGGGCAGCCAGAGACTGAACTAAATTACCACCAAACACACACCCTGAACTTCATCAGAATGACCTATTAAAACTCCTTTTGGTCCATTCTACCCAAATCCCCCTCAAGTGCTGCTTAGGATGGGTCTCAGGGGTCAGTAGAGAGGGGACTGGCTCAGCCATCCATGATCCTATTCCTTTCACAGAAAAGGCTCAGTGCATAAGAGTATTCCAAAACTTTAAAGTCTGGTCTAGCTGGTTCAGTTGGCTCTCCACCACAGCTCCTGAAGGTTGCCAATTCTGTGTGCAATTCTGGCTCAAAGACAGAGAGCACGATCCTCAAAAGAGGAGACCTAGAAACCCAGAGCCAGGTGAAACAACAGGCCTTCAATTCTAAACTTGAGAGTGGGTCACGCTGTCAGAATCCTCCAAGATCAGATTGGGCAGAAACAGAGGATATGTTATTCCCCGAAGATCTCTCTAGGGGACCCGCGCCAAATAAAGGAGCTCAAATTGAAGGCATCCGAAAAAAACTTTCTGCCTGGCAAGAAGATTAAACACCCAGACACATCACAAAGGTGGTGGGCTCTCCAGCCCCAGAGAGGATGATCTCCGTGACTGGAAGCAACTCAGGTTCCTCACACGGACTAACTAATGCAGCCCCACAACCTGCCCAGGCAGATATCGACCTGACGCCCCATGATACACCTGGGCAAAGGGAACAGAACTTCCGTGTCATCCTCCCTCTTGGATCCACAGGAAATTAAGCTCCCAAGGGAAAAAGAGGGAGACGAACCTTCAAGAGAACCTACCCAGTGACTGACATAAGAGGCCCTGACACATTCAGTGGTCAGAGATGCACAAGGGAAAATCAGCACCTGGTGCAAGCCACCAATAATAAAAGGGACAGACACCTGCCAGCCCCAGGGCTATCAGCTGGCAATCTATTTCAAAACTCAAAAGGAAAAAAATGTTCTGGAGCTAGTACAGAGGAAAAAGGTTGAGGACCAAAGGCACTCTCTGGGGCATAGCTTCTGGAGACTTCTCTTAGCTCTTAGGGATGGGGCATAGGGTGGAGGGTGGGAATGAGTGCTGAGACAGACTAAGGTATCAGGGTTTAAATGTATTCGAAACATCCAGAGAGGAAAGACACAGAGCCCTGTTTCCTGGAAGGGGAAAAGAGTTGGATGAGGCCTCCAGCTCTAACCCTGGCACACACCCAACTCAGCAGCCGGTCTCTCCCTAAGAGTTCCTGGAAATCAACAGACCCATAAGGGGGAAGTATTAAAGCTGTGATCGGAAGAATGGTCTACAAATTGGACATCATTCCTGATGCAACACCCCACCAAATTCCCCCACACAGAGATACCTGCTATTTACCACATTCAGCCCCTTACTTCAATCAGAAGCTGAACATCTCCATCCCACCCTACCCCACCCCACGGGCTTCTCAACTGCAAGCCAAGGGAAAGCAGAGAAGCGTGTGGAGCTAATGCTTCTCCCTGAAGCAGAGGCAAGGAACTGGGAGGGAAGGGGAGGTGGGTGACAGGAATGCAGGGGATAGGGCTGATAAGAAGGAAATCAGAAGAAGGGGCAAAAACACGACCTCCGGGAGGAGCCAGGACAGGAGCGGCTGAGGTAGACAGGGACTGCAGGCAAGGGGCTGAAAAAGCCTAATACCACTACGAGGAAGACGATGGGGAGCGGTAATACCGAGAGGGGTCAGGCAACGGGGGGGAAGGAGGGGACAGGGATGGGAAAAGACAGCAAAGACTGAGATGGCAAGGATGGGAGGACGAAGGCAGGAGACAAGGATAACGAGGGGGCCAGAGAAGATCCCCAAGGAGACCCTGGGTAGACAGGGCAATGGATTTGGGGACACCAGAGAAGAGATGAAGGAAGAGGTCAGAGGCAAGGGGAGTGGGAGAGGACCCCGAGCCTAAGACCCGGCTCTCAGAACACAGAGGTGGGAGATGATGGAGCCACGAGGCCCAAGAGGGGGCACAGAGTCGCCTGGGGGAGGACAAACAGCGATGGGGGTCCAAACGGCCGGGGGCGCAGGGGCAGCGGGGCGGGGCACCAGGACAGCAACGGACGAGCGCTGACCGGCTCCGACCTGAGCGCCGGGAAGCGGCAGCGGCTCGGTCCGCGGACCCCTGCCTCTCCCCCACCCCACTCCCCGCCGGGCCTTGCGCCTCAGCCCTGGTGGCCACCTCAGCCCGGGCCCACCGCTTCCCTCTGCTGCTCGCCTACCCGCTTCCCCCGACCCGGACGGACCTGTCCTGGCCACCTCCCGCGCCACCTCCGCCGTCCCGCAGGCTCCGCAGCACCCTCCGGCTCCTGCCAAAACTTTTCCCATTAATCCCAGCTCCGCGGCCGCCGCGGCGTCACACGCTGCGCGGCCCAGCCCCGGCCCCGCCCCCGCCAGCGCGACGTCACCGCGCACCACGCCCCACCTCCTCCACGCCCCTTTCCGCCCGGCCGCGGCCAATCACCGTGCCTCCTGGAGACCCCTGATTCTGCCACTCCGCCCACCGCACACTGCCCTTGGCCCGCCTGCAGCGCCCTCTGGTGCCGGATGCGGGCGCGGCGGCTGACGGAGGAGCTGGGAGGGAGCGCTGGGGCCAGTAAAACAAGTCTGGCAAGTATCACAACAGGAAATTTAAAGCTAGAAGGGAACTTAGAGGTCATCTAATCGAGCCTCCTCATCCTTCCAGTGAAGAAACAGTCCCAGAGAAGGTGCGTGACTTGCACTGAGAAGCAGTGATGAGGCTAGAACCCGGGTCTCCAGACTCCACTGGAGGAGACCGCGCTGCCTGTAATTTTAATAAAAGAGCTTTCCTCCCTCAAGAGGCTTTTGCAACTAGAAGTTTATGGTTCTGGACTTCTTACCTATCTTCCCATGTACTTATCTAATACGATTGCCCACCTAAATGGTGCAATCCTCCAGTGGAGCATCTTCCGTACTTTTGCAGAAAATTCTGTTCTCGCTTCTTAACCCAGGTCGTTAGGACCTGGAAGGGACCTGTTACTCCAACCTGTCCCTTCAGATATATCATAAAAAGGCACTTAGCAGCTGGGTTTGTCATCTGGCGATGAACAAAACCTGACTCACAGGTGTATGATCAATGGGTAACTCCCTCCTTTCCACCATCTTTAAAGTAAAGATTACTTCTCACCTCTTGCGCGCATACCACTCCTCAGGCCACGCCCTCAGATATCTGGACGGTAGAACTAGAGTGAATTTTTTTTTCTGCTGCTCTTTTTTTCCTACTACTTGAAATGAATTTGCATTACTTTTGTAATTCAGACATCAACCTCCTTGCCCTTTGAGATTGAAATAAGAATGGATTGTGGAAGTCAAAGCCTCCCCTAAGATTTCTGGGGATTTTTATTCTCCTAAACATCTCTGCCTCTGGGCTCCTGATTCTGCCAGGCTGGGCTGTTGCAGTTCCACAGTTCGGAAATGTAGAGATGAAACTCAGCCCTTCCTGAGCACTGCCCACGCCTCTTCCCACACAAAACATTCATGGATATAGAAGACATTATGATGATGTCATAATCACATGATGGGCAGAGTCACATGATGTATTGCAAACAGCTTAAACTCACACATCAGACATTCTTTAAAGTCCTTTCCACACCCCCCAGTGAAGTTTTCTAATTGGCGCTTCACTCCTTAGGGACCGGCCTTTTCCAAATCACTACCTCTCCTCCCTGCCCCACCGTTCTTTCTTTTATCCCATTCTCTCTGGAGAAAAAACAAATTCGTCTTGCTTTCCAGGCGGAAAGAGACATCTTAACTGTTTCTCTTTATTGCTAGGGTTCCTGCCAGCACTCATGCCCTGAAGCACTCACTTTCTCCCCTAAGGGGCTTATTTCCCCTAATAAAGACAGCTCCCTCCCTAAAAGAAATTCTGGGAGCACTAGGATATTACATATTTCACTTCATTTCGTTTTTATATTAAAAATGATATATATAATATTTAATATAACATTTAATAAATATATTTAATGCTCAGACCCCATAATTCCATTTCTCATTGCATTATTATTTAAAACTACAAAAAACTGGAGATAACCTAACTGTCCAACAACAGAGAAATGTTTAGGTAAATTATGCTGTATGCTCCTGATGGAATATTATGCAGCCATTAAAAACGATGCCTACAAAGAGTTGGTGAAAATATGAAAAAATGTTATGATCTGATATTCATTGGAAAAAAGCAGAATCTGACGATATGTATAGAATATATAGATATGTATACCATTTGGAAAACAACATTTAGCATTAAAAACTGGAAGGAAACTGACTAATGTTATAAGCACATATCTTTGGGTTGTGGTTCTGTGAGTAATTATCTTTCTATATTTTTATTCTGAACTTTTTTCATAATGAAAATATGGTTTGTTTTTTAAGAACAAAAAAGAAAAGTCTTCCTTATATTGAACAAAAATTTATATCCTCTGGTGCTCCTATTCAATAGTCTTAGGTCTATCCCTTGGAGGTAAACTAAGTGATATTGTTTTCCATATAGAAGCCCTTCTGATGTTTGACCCCCCCATTCTCTTATATTTTTTCTTCTTCAAGCTACAACATCCCTAGTTCCTCACATAAAATGATTATGGTTTCCTTTACCACCCAGATTGCTGGCTTCAGAATGTGCCATTTTATGTATATCCATCTCCTTCAAGGCTTTCCTTGCTTTGAGCCATCTAACTTTGGAATCCCCTTCCTATATTTGGGGAATCTCCCAATTTAGACTCTTCCTCCACTGTAGAGGCTGAAAATGTCTGGCGTTTGCTTCCGGCCTCCTTTGCAGCTAGAGCATAGCCACATGACCAGGCTCCACCAATCAGATGCCGGGAAGAGGAAGCCCTAGGGACCACACATAATTCATTCAGGTAAGTGACAGAGCAGCAGCTCCACCTGATTTCCGGTTGTAAGAAGCAGCAGTTGTAGGAGCAGCATCCAGCACTGGTGATATTAGCCATGGAAACAGCAGCGTCTATACCCAGAGGTGGCAGCTGGGGTGTCTTCATAAGAACCGTTGTGTGCCCTGATTTGGGGTGTCGTTCCTGACTATACAGCCTCCAAGCTGGCTCTCTCGTCCTCCCAATTATTTAAGCAACTCCTCTATACTCTATTAATAAATTCCTTTTTGGGAGTGGGGTGCAGGAGGAGGAAGATTAGCCCTGAACTAACGTCTGTTGCCAATCCTCCTCTTTTTGCTGAGGAAGACTGGCCCTGGGCTAACATCTGTGCCCATATTCCTCTACTGTATATGGGACGCTGCCACAGCATGGCTTGAGAAGCGGTGCGTGGGTTTGCGCCCGGGGTCGGAACCTGCAGTCCGCAGGCCCCGGAAGCGGAGTGCCCGAACTTAACCGCTATGCCATCAGGCCGGCCCCAATAAATTCTTTTTTTTACTTAAATCAGTTTCTGTTACTTGAATCAAAAACCCAGACTAATACAGCTTCCCCCAATCTTCATTTTGACCAGATTTGCCCACAGGCACAGCTCCAAGTGGGAAAAGTTGGTCCCTGCCAAGACTCTGCAACCCTTGCCAAAGCAGCCAGCAAGCTCAGCTGCCCAAACCTGCTCTGATGCCCAATTACAGTGTAACTTGAACGATAACTTACAGTGTGGGGTAAGGCTAGATCTACTTTGAATTAGATTCCAACTTCCTCCACAGCCATTTCAGGCTCCCGCCAGCAGGTGGCGACCTGCTCAGCCTCCTGAAATCAGCCTCCTCCATCCAGGTCTCACCTACGGCAGGAGCCTGAGAGGCAACTTGCAGCTGACTCCTCTTCTGCCTGGGTAGACGTTGTGCTTGAGGAGGAGGCTCCTTGCATATCCCGGCAACAGTTTGCGACAAGCCTCTTGCCCACCAGCCGGTCGCCCCACCTCCCCAGCCTTCCTCAGCTTCAATCCACAGGCGGATGACCTGGGACCACAACGGCTGTGCTTTCCACTTGACCCCCAGAGTTTATGGGTATCTCTGAGGGCATCGGAGATTGCATACATTCGTCTTTGTTCAGGATGTTGGAAAGGACAGAGGAGTTACTTTTTGTGTGTGTGTGAGGAAGATGAGCCCTGAGCTAAAATCTGTTGCCAATCCTCCTCTTTTTGCTGAGGAAGATTGGCCCTGGGCTAACATCCATGCCCATCTTCCTGTACTTTATATGGCACGCTGCCACAGCATGGCTTGACCAGGAGGGCGTAGGTGCGCGCCCGGGACCTGACTTGCGAACCCTCCGGCCGGGGATGCCGAGCCCGCGCACTTAACCACTACGCCACCTGGCCGGCCCCCAGAGGGGTTGCTTTCTAATCCTGGTATTAAAAGACTGGAAACTATCTTCTCCTGCCCCCTAGTAATGTCCTCCAAGACTGACAGCTTCTCGTGCCAGTCTCAATGTGCATTGCATCCAGGCATCAGGGTGATCTTCCTTTCACTATCGCACACCCCAACCGTCAGCGCCTCCCTGTGTCCCATCATGGAACATTTAAAAGCTTGAAGTGGGGCCGGCCCCATGGCTTAGCGGTTAAGTGCGCGCGCTCTGCTGCTGGCGGCCTGGGGTCCGGATCCCGGGCGCGCACGGACGCACCGCTTCTCCGGCCATGCTGAGGCCGCCTCCCACATGCAGCGACTGGAAGGATGTGCAGCTATGACATGCAACTATCTACTGGGGTTTTGGGGGAAAAAATAAATTAAAAAAAAAATTATTAAAAAAATAAAAGCTTGAAATGGACCCCATTTACGGGTCCCCATTACAGGTGAGGCAACAGGCTTAGGGGTTGGTTGGCTTGCCACTTCAAGTCTAAAGTCTACCTAGCTTCCAAGAATGTCTCTAATGAGGCCTCGTTCTACCTTTCTAGTACGGGTCCTTCATAGTAGGTCCTTCATTTTTTGCCCCCTACTCCTAAAAAAATATATAAGAACTATACAGCTCCTTGCACATCTTTAAGGTGACATCTAATACTTTTCATCATTAGTTTAAAACTTAGTTGCAGAGGATGGATGTAATTTCTACTCTTTTATAAATACATTTTAATATAAAACTGCTATATTACCCTTTTAAATGTATCAAATAAGACTTAAATCCCAGAGTGATTTGACGCTCACCATCATTCATCTTAAAAATACATGAACAGGGCCAGCCCCATGGCTTAGCGGTTAAGTGAGCGCTCTCCGCTGCTGGAGACCCAGGTTCGGATCCCGGGCGCGCACTGACGCACTGCTTCTCCGGCCATGCTGAGGCCGCGTCCCACATACGGCAACTAGAAGGAAGTGCAACTATGACATACAACTATCTACTGGGGCTTTGGGGGAAAAAAAAAAATAAATAAAATTATAAAAAAAAAAAAATACATGAACATGGGCCGGACCCGTGGCTTAGCAGTTA